AGAGCCTTTATTTGATCCTCTCTGTATATGTAACACCCAGCCACTAATTTTTGCACGACATGTAAAGTTTACTTGGCACTGATTAGTCTTATGTTCTCACTAAATTATTTACCCTTTTTATAGAAAGAGAATGCATCGTTCCCGATATAGAGCAGGAGGTACTTGCTCAGCCTCAGAAAGATAAATATGTCATTGGAGACGTGTTGAAATTCTACTGCAGATATAGATTCCACTCTCTTCTTGGACCAGATTCAATACAGTGCTACCACTTTGGATGGTCCCCTAATCCTCCGACATGTAAAGGTGATTATTTCTCTGACACTTGCTCAAACAAGAATTAGGATGTTGGATATCAGCTGTTCTTTTCCTCTCTCAGTATTCTGTTGGCTGCCAGTGTGCCTAGAATTCAGAGCATAAGCCAGGAATGGATGTTGGGTAGTGGATACCTCACACTTCCTTATTTAAGGAAGTAATCTTTGTTTTTTGGACTAAATATTGAAAATCTCTATAGATGGACATCTTATGCGACACTAGAGTGAAAGCCTTAGTCATAATTATTGCATAATTTCCAACATTGGTATTGGATATTTCTATCAGCATGGATCTCACCTCAAGTTTCCCTGAGAATTTCTAAACACTCTTCAAGCATCATAGAGTTCATTCAATGCCATATACCATATAACGTAGAGGTAAAATTTGTTGATCAAATGCTTGCCTCCAATGATTTTTATTCCAAAAAAAAGTTTTGATGAAATGTTTCCTTGGAATGTGAATAGTTACATGATTTTACCTGGTCATTGATTTGCATATGGGTTTAGATGGTCTAGAGCAGGGATAGGGGAACTTCTTTCTGCCAAGGGCCTTTGAATATTTATGACATCATTCACAGATCATGCAAAATTATCAACTGAAAACTCATCCTTCTGTAATTGGTCAAACATTTAATTAACTCACCTCTAATGCCTTGGCAGGGCCAGACCGGATGATTTCTCGGGCCTTTTATGGCCCTCGGGCCAGACGTTCCCCACCCCTGATCTAGAATAGCAAACGTTTCCTGGGCTTACATTTCTGTCCAACATGCTAGTTCTGTATCATAACAGAACTGGGAGACATGCAACTGGTGTAATCACCATTCTGTTTCCTTTCTCAAAAGGTAAGTTAGATAGCAAGTCATAGATTAAAGAAAAAAAATCTCTTCATTTTACTGGATCAACAGTTGTACAAGAGGCACTTTACTTACATAGAATTTCTACCGTAGAGGAAGTACAACCCTGTGATCAACCTCCTCAACTCCCCAATGGGACAGTTGCAGACACACCTAAAGAGCAATATGAACACGGTGAGGTGGTGGAGTACGCCTGCAACCCCAGGTTCCTGATGAAAGGGGCTAAGAAAATCCAGTGCGTTGACGGAGAGTGGACACCCATGCCCGTGTGTGTTGGTAACGTAAACCCACTTCCAATGGTTAGACTTATGTCATCACTTTGTGTTTCTCTTCACTCAAGCCCTCACTTGCACTTGAAAAGTTGAATGTTTGTTGTGGGATTTTCACAGAGGAGCACAGTACATGTGGAGACGTACCTGAGCTGAAGGATGGTGAGGTCGTGTCCCCAGCACAGCCCTCCTATCACCATGGAGACTCAGTAGCGTTCACTTGCAGAGACGACTTTACAATGGTTGGTCACAGCTCAGTTACCTGTATTAAGGGAATGTGGACCCAAACACCTCAGTGCATTGGTGAGAAGACCCTTTTATAATTGACATTTAATAGCATTGGATGTTTTTCATTGGGAAGCTCTACATGCAACCGTATTTTTGAAATGTCAGCTTATAAACTATAGTGAATCACACATTCATTGTCTATAGTTCAATAGTGTCTATAAAGCAAAAATAGAAACTAGCAATAGAATTTTATGTGTCTGTTCCTAATATTGATATTGTTTATACCTATGAAGCTAGATTTTACTTAAAGACATATGATTAAAATATTCTTCTCTGATGTTTATTTTGTACCTCCCTATAATCTTGCTTTTCTCTCTATTCAAGATGTTTCTTTTCCCCTGATAAATTAATTGTTTCAGAAAACAAGCATCTTTAGACATACCACAACCATCACACCTTCTTTTGACTACACGTCTTCCTTCAGTCATCATCTCTTGAAGAACGCGACTCATTTTGTCTCCTTCAACACTCTGGATCCATCCCAAAAATAAGACCGACTCTCCAGCCTCTTGTCTGTTTTAAATTAGCCTCCTTGATTTTATATAATATTTTTTAGGTTGCATTGCAAAATCATTACTTTTCTTTGGCCAGTTGCTTGACTTTCCTTTGTTCTGTTTATCCTCACATGACTCTCATCATTAACAAATTATGAACAAAAACTACCTAAGATCTACACTGATGCCTTATCAAAATCAGAAAGGATTGCCACCTGCATTGCAATTTTGAAATATGTAGCTGTGTATGAAAACTTTTATAGTACCTAAAATACACTGAAACCAGCATAAATGTGTTATTATGGCTATACAATATTATTAGATATAGGATGACGTGGTGGATTAAATAGCTTCTCAAAGATCCTAAGAATGAGTATTCAAAATAGGTTACGATGTAAAACACAAACAAGCAATATCTTATTCTAGTTTTTGGTGATCATGGTAAAGATATGCTGAAATGTTCACATTCTGTACCCTACAACTTAGACCAACCCGTTATTGAACATTAAATTTATTGAAAAATATATAATAAAACTAGGAAATTCACATAGTCTATTTCTACAGATACTTTTTTCTTTTTAACACATAGGAAAGTATAACTTTCCTATGTAAATCAGACAAAAATTGTACCCCAATGTCCTTGTAATCCACAAAGGGCAACCTTGTAATCCGCAATGGGCAAGATTCTCTCAGAAATTTCATAGGACTATATGGCTATTCTCTCTGAAATTCCAATACTGGACATACGTTAACACATTGTAACATGATCAGAAAGAACTTTTCTGGTAGAATTTATGGTCCTAAAGTCCTATTTCATTAGAGTCTAGACTCTATAGTTGTGTTGTTTTTCTGTTTTTTGTATTAGTTGCTTGGATTTTCATAATTAGTGTCTTCAATGGAATATTTTCATTTTACAGCAACAGGTGAGATCAAGACGTGTAAATTATCCAGGGCAATTGCCTCTGAGACCAAGTTGTCAGATCGTGAGAACTATAAGCATAATAGGAAAATCAGTTACACATGTGGGAGGAAGTCAGAGCAGAAGCACTCAGTCTGCATGAATGGAAAATGGCAGCCTGAGGTGACCTGCACAGGTGAGCTCTTCCTTAGATCATTCCCAAAATGTGCTTTTCCTTCCTCCCTTGTAAAAGGTGTCTTAAAATTTTTTTACTATGTATTACGACAATAATTATGAAACTGGAAGGAAATTTAGAAACTAACCAAAACACTGTCCCTGAGTATGAATTGTATTATGTGCCTCGGTCAGCTATCAACACACCACCCAGCAGTACAGTCACATGGGCAGTGGGTGTGCTCGTTAATATTGGAATCCCATTGCTACCGAGTTCTTACCTTCAGATGTGCCTATGCCTGTAACCTGTGCATTTATCTAAGCACCTATGGGTGTACACATCTATGTACACATCCATCTATGTCGGCATCCACCGATCGCTGTAGGAATCTACCATCTAGGCTCATGTCTGTGCTCATGTCTGAGTCTTATTGCACCACCAATCCCAGTAACATTGGGTTCATTTCACTTATCATGTCTGTATTGATCTTCTTGAACTGGAGGGCACCTTGACCCACTATCCTCAAGATTTTTACCAATTTCCTAGAATATTCAGAAAGCATTTTACATAAGCTAAGCTACCCAAGATGGATCACAGGTGGAATAAAGGAAAGAACCTACAGGGAAGGCCATGGGAATATAAACCCAGTGAAGTATGTTAGAGTGATAAACAAGATGGAAAGATAACCTATTGAAGCACAGAACAGAGAATTACCATTTGGTGTATCCAGGTGCCTTATGATTGATCATTTCAGTCATTGAGTTGTTGTTTTAATATTTTTGACTTACAAGTTTTCATCAAGAAATCTGATGTTAATGTTTTTAGAAGCACCACGATGTCCACCTCCACCTCAGATCCCCAATTCTCAACCTACGACCCTGACAGGGAGTTATCAAGAAGGAGAAAAAATATCTATCCTCTGTCAAGAAAACTTTCTGATCCAGGAAGGAGAGGAAATGGTGTGCCAGGATGGACGATGGCAGTCGATACCGCGCTGTGTCGGTCAGTAGTGGGTCGCTAACAATAGAAATGTCTTTCCGATGAGGGTAACCCCTTGTCCCCCACCCCCCCACCCCGGCTTTGTGTAAAGGAACAAAATGAGCCCCTTTCCCCTATCCATTCCACTTCATCTCCAAACAGTACATACCATCCAGGTGCAGAAAACAATAAGCATTATTTCACTTCTAATGGAAAATGAATGCAAACAGAAACCTCCGGTGACTGTGGAAATACCAAAGTTCTGTCTATGCGTATTTCACTCCTCAAGAAGAACAGCAGGACACTGAAGAGGCATATGGGACAAATGGATAGCAGCATCAACTTTGTGGGCACATCTAGCTTTGCAAGTTTCAAATATTTTTAATTATGACATACTTTTATGTGTCCCAATGTCCCTAGGATAAATAACAAACAGTGTTGGGTATTATTTTTCAATTTAAACATTATCTTTGCCTAAACGGCTTTGGCTCAGTGGATAGAGCGTCAGCCTGCGGACTCAAGGGTCCCAGGTTCGATTCCGGTCAAGGGCATGGACCTTGGTTGCGGGCATATCCCTAGTAGGAGGTGTGCAGGAGGCAGCTGGTCGATGTCTCTCTCTCATCGATGTTTCTAACTCTCTATCTCTCCCCATTCCTCTCTGTAAAAAAGTCAATAAAATATATTATATCTAATGATCGCTGCATTAGAGATCCATTTTTTCCTCTTTATTCAGATTTCTCCTGTGGCAGCCCTCCCCCAGTGCAAAATGCCTATGTACCAGACAAGAAGTCTAGGTATCAACACGGGGAGACCGCACATTATCAATGCAGGCACCTCCTGGGCCTCTTCGGGAATGAAGTGGTGACATGCTTAAACGGAAATTGGACAGACCCACCTGAGTGCAAGGGTAGGGTGCCTCATTCCCCTCCCTCCATCCCCCACTCTCTCTGAGCAGCTTCTGTAAGCACTTGGCCACTGTACTCCTGTCCAGCTGGCCCTCACTTGGTTACTCAGGTTTGTTGCTCCATCATTTCCTGTAAGTGGGTTTGGGGCCAGGAGGATGTGAGTGTAGCTACTCCGCAGCTCCCTTAAAATCCACTGCTCACCCAATAAATCAAAGCATCTCCTCTCTTAGATTCCTCCGGAAAATGTGGGCGCCCTCCCGCTATTGACAATGGAGACATTACCTCGAATCCATTAGCAGTCTACGCTCCCGGGTCCTCAGTGGAGTATCAGTGCAATGCCTACTATGTGCTTGACGGAAACAGGAGAATAACGTGCCGCAATGGAGAGTGGTCTGAGCCACCCAAATGCTTGGGTAAGTCCTTTAGTATCCTCCTGGGCCCTGGGACATCCGTGTAATGAATGCCATGTCTGCTGCTTCCAACAGGACTGTGCCTCTTCTGTTGACCACCAAATAGTCATGGCTGAGGGTATAAAGTCTGAAAAATTCTTGAGCAACAGCAGCAAGAAACTATCATTTGTCTTTATTGTAATGTATTTCCCCCAGCACCACTTATGCCCCCTCCTCCCTCTCCACCTCCTTCACCCCTTCAAGGGTTCTTTAATGAAAGCCCTTCAAAGGATAATTGACATTGTGAATGTTGATTTTAACGTTCCACAGAGTATCTCACTTCTCCATCACTGATAGTTTACAGTGAGTTACAGCAACAGTGGATTTTCAATGCAGTGGTTTGCAGAAGGGTTTGAGGATAAATTCCTCAATCTGCGTAGAAGGTTCTACATGAAGGTGTAAAATTCTGTGGAAAATGTTTGTATGCTACCTAAAGTTTTATGTTCTTTTTTTTTCTTTTTTTACCTTCAGAAGCATGTGTGATATCAGAAGAAATCCTGGAAGAACATAAGATAGAGTTTAGATGGTCATATGAGAAAAAGCTTTATTCTCAAACAAACGATTATACTGAATTTAAGTGTCAACGTGGCTTTTATCCCAAGTCACCAAGATCTCCATTCCGAGTACAATGTCGAGAAGGGAAAATGGAGTTTCCCACTTGTTGGTGAAATGAGAGCTACACAGCAGTTTTCACATTAAAATCTGCACCTTCATTGACAATGTTTTAATATTAATCTAATTCTTCTCAATTTATTTTTCTGGTTGGGTGTGACTCACTTTTATTCATTAATCAGAATTCGTGTTAAGTGCCAGATGGCAGATGTCACTTCTCATAAGTGTTTTATTAAAGTGTGAGAATCCAACGTGCTGTGTGTTTCTGTTCATGAAACGTCTCTGGGCCAGAAACCACCTCAGTGCCTGTCTCTATCCCTCACTGATGTTTCTCTCTGTCTGAAATCAATAAAATTTGATAAAAGAAAATTAAATATCAAGAATGTGCTGAAATCCTTGGACTTGGTGGTGTGGTCTGTGGTGAGTTTACAAAAAAATCAGTGCTGCCCTACAGACAGGAGCCTACACTGTGCGGACACCCTGGCTGGTGTCCACTGACCAAGACAGCAGCCGGGTGAGAGCAACGAGAAGAGAAGAGACAGTCACAGGGACATGCAGGCAGAGCTATTCCCACCGGAACCTCCTGGTTGAGAAAGAACCTCCCCCATCCTCAAGAAGTCGTTAAAGATTAGAGTTTTGTATCACTTTTGCAGCTTTCTATTACTGTCCCTAAAGAAAGCTGACCAAGTACATGTCAGGGAATGAAGTCAAGAAATGATTGTGAAATTGTTCATGCAAATGCACAGATATTGCAAAAGCCTTTGAACTTTGATATCTATCGAGTGACCCCAGGCAACCAGTTTCCCGGTACTCTCACTCAAATTCAGAGCCACACGTGAGGCAGATTTAACCCCAAATAGCAGCGCCGGACCATCTGTGCTCACACACCCGGGGAGGTCCACCATGCTGTTCCTGGTCCAGGTCATCCTCACCCTGTGGGTCTCCTGGGCTCGTGGACAAGGTGAGTTGGAACTGATAAGAACATTTAGATAAAAACATGCTGCTGCTTCTTCTTCTTCCTCTTCCTCTTCTAGCTCCTTCTTAAATAGGACTTTGCTCTTTCTCATTTGCCTTTACTTTTTTTTTTTAATCCTCACCTGAAGATATTTTTCCCATTGATCTGTAGAGAAAGAGTGGATATGAGGGAAATACCCTGCCTCAGTAAGCCAATCTTTTCGTTCTGGGTGCGTAGAAACACTGCACGGTGGAGAGAGGAAAACATGAGTGCCACAAGCTCGAGGGAAACCCTCTGTGTCTGAGCAGGAAGACCAATGTCGGATTTTTCTTTTATGATAGATCCCTCATTAACAATATGGGACACTGCCCCAGCTCGTTTGGCTCAGTGGATAGAGTGTCAGCCCGCAGAGTGAAGGGTCATGGGTTCGATTCCAGTCAAGGGCACATACCTCGGTTGCCGGTTCCCCAGCCCTGGTCAGGGCGCATGTAGGAGGCGACCAATCATGGCGTCTCTCTCACATCGATGTCTCTGTGTCTCTTTCTCTCCCTTCCACTCTCTCTAAAAATCAATGGGGAAATATCCTCGGGGGAGGATTAACTGGGGAAAAAAAAAAAAGAAAGAAAATGGGAGATCAAAATAAAAACTTTATAGCAATAGTGATGTCCTTTATTCATAGTTTAATTGGGAAAATGACAGATTACCTTTCACCTTGATTTTTCTCTTTAAAAAAAAAAACACTTGCTGGCAGCTCTAGCTCCTCTCCAGCTATGTGTTCCGGTTGGGTGCTCGTGCATTCTTATTAAATGTAGCAAAGATGATTTTTAAAAAAATATATTTTATTATTTTATTGATTTTTCACAGAGAGGAAGAGAGAGGGATAGAGAGCTGGAAACATCGATGAGAGAGAATCATCAATCAGCTGCCTCTTGCACGCCCCCTACTGGGGATGTGCCCGCCACCAAGGTCCATGCCCTTGACCGGAATCGAACCCGGGACCTCTCAGTCCGCAGGCTGACGCTCTATCCAATGAGCCAAACCGGTTTCGGTAGCAGAGATGATTTTTTAATGTCTTAACCAAATGCATGATTTCTTATTATCCATTTATAATTGGATAATAGAATATAATTTTCCTAGGAAAATGTTCTTTCAAGTCTTTGAGACACGGCTATGCTCCAGTCACTGGAGAAAGGTACGTCCAGGGCCAGTCCAGAACCGTTATGTGCCCTCGGGGCTACGGTCTCCCGAACCCGCAGAACACCATGACGTGTGCGGACAACGGCTGGTCCCCTCCCCCCGTGTGCATCCCTGTCCGTAAGTAACCCGCTCCGAGACCCAGCCTGGCATTTTCTGAGACCAGACTCGTTTCTGTGGAACACTTCCCTGCAGTGAAAAAAAGCTGTGCTCTTGGCCATGCATTTTCATATTCAAGAAAGGATGGGTAAAGAGATCTGTTTTTTTTTTTTTTTTTTTTTAAATATATTTTATTATTGATTTTTCACAGAAAGGAAGAGAGAGGGATAGAGAGCTAGAAACATCGATGAGAGAGAATCATCGACCAGCTGCCTCTTGCACACCCCCTACTGGGGATGTGCCCGCAACCAAGGTACATGCCCCTGACCGGAATCGAACCCGGGACCTTTCAGTCCGCAGACCAACGCTCTACCACTGAGCCAAACCGGTGCCGGCGAGATCTGTTTTTTTTTTAAATATATTTTATTCATGTTTACAGAGAGGAAGGGAGAGGGATAGAGAGCCAGAAATATCAATGAGAGAGAAACCTCGACCAGCTGCCTCTTGCACCGCCCCCCCCCACCGGGGATGTGCCCGCAACCAAGGTCCGTGCCCTTGACCGGAATCAAACCTGGGACCCTTCAGTCCACAGACCGACGCTCTATCCACTGAGCCACACTTCCCTTATCCACACAAATCCACGAGATTCTGTTTCTTAGATGGGACTTGATTCGGCATTAGGAATGCAACGGTGACCTTTACTTTGCTTCAGGGCACTGTGACATGCCAATATTCGAGAATGCCAGAGCCACATTCACCGGGAAACCATTTCGACCCAACGACACCATGGACTACCAATGCCTGGATGGCTACGAAAACAGAGATGGAAGCACCAACGGCTCCATGGTGTGTGGGGAGGACGGCTGGTCCCACTTGCCAACCTGCTTTAGTGAGTGTTTTGATTCCAGCATTTCCTTTCCCAAGAATTGAAAAGTCTACATGCATAGAGCCCTCGCTTGAGTGTGAGTGGTCTCACGCCATGGTCAGCAAACTGCGGCTCTTTGGCCCCTTGAGTTCTTAGCAAAGGCCAACTTAGAAGTACTCAAATTAAGTGAATCACAATGTACCCACCTATAGCGTTTACGTTTAAAAAAAAACATGTGGCTCTCCAAAAAAATGTCAATCGTTGTCCTGTTGAGTGTTGGCTCTGTGGACGAAGGAGTTTGCCGTCCACTGGTCTAAAGCATTTTTGAACAACGCGGGGGTTACAAGGTTCAAAATGCAAAAGAGGGACAATGGTTCCTGTTTAATAGCTTCGCATGAATAGTTTCCAACACCAACTACAATTTTCTCTCCCAACGGTTAAAATGCTTTTTCAGAATCTGCGCACAAGAGTGGGCCTCCTCCAGAGATTAGCAATGGAGCCATCGCCTCCTTCCCGCTAAAAGCATATCCTCCGTGGTCAAGAGTGGAATACCCGTGCCAGGCCTACTATGAACTCCAGGGTCCGACAGATGTCACCTGTAGTTATGGGAAGTGGCCCAAACCCCCAAGATGCATAGGTAAGTGCTCAAGAACCTTCTGGATCCTGAGACCAGGAGGGCGATGTTTATGAGCTCGCGGGCCGTCTGCTGGTCATGGAGTCAGAGTCTAGAACTGTGCTCACCCACAGCTCTCCTGCTCAGTGTTTCACTCGTGGAGACTCGTGTGTAGGGGTATGAGCTTGGAAAATCCCTATGTGAACAATGAAAGATGGTCCTTGAAAAAGGAACATTCAAGAGGCTCATTCTGATACACAAACTGACCCTCTCCTGCGTATGTGTCCCCTTCTGCGGGAAATTATAGCAACCCCAGTAAGTCCCGGACCGGAAATCAAAGTTACAAAACCCAAGTCAGAAGCGTCTAGAAATAGCGCCAAGCTGGATTTTATGGGAGGGAAAGTGCTGAGTTTCAAAGATAAATGCTTAAACCTCAGGTTGGATGGACTGAGTAGATGGACAAGTCTAAGACGGATTTCACAGCACATGCAATATCCATTTCGAACATTTAGTTCTAGAAAGCAGTTATCCTTCTCTGAGGACGTATTTCTTCCACTTTCAGAGCCGTGCATAGTATCCAAAGAAAACTTGGATGGAAAGAACATACGGTTAAAAGGCAGCAATGACAAGACCTGACGCAAAATCAGGGCATATCCTGGGATTTGTGTGCAAATCGGGACACAAGGCGGTGACGTCCGCCAGGCCATTCCGAGCCCGGTGCCTGGAAGGGGCAGTGGAGACGCCCGGGTGAGAGTGAAAGAGCCTGTGGCCCCAGGTGAGTGCCCAGTCCCACCGCTGCTCCTCCTGCCTCCGAGCTTGCCAGGCTCCACACGTTTCCTGCTCTTAACCACGATATTTCATATTTCAATGTGTTAGACAGCTCTCCTGGCCCCCAGACCCTGGCCACCGGCCCCCGACCCCGGCTCTCCCGGCCCCCGGCTCTCCCGGCCCCTGGCCCCCGGCTCTCCCGGCCCAGGGCTCTCCCGGCCCCCGGCTCTCCCGGCCCCCGGCTCTCCCGGCCCCTGGCCCCCGGCTCTCCCGGCCCAGGGCTCTCCCGGCCTCCGGCTCTCCCGGCCCCCGGCTCTCCCGGCCCTGGGCTCTCCTGGCCCCCGGCCCCCGGCTCTCCGGCCCCCGGCTCTCCCGGCCCCGGGCTCTCCCGGCCCCCGGCTCTCCCGGCCCCTGGCCCACGGCTCCCCCGGCCCCCGGCGCTCCCGGCCCCCGGCTCTCCCAGCTCCGGCTCTCCGGCCCCCGGCCCCCGTCACTCCCGGCCCCGGACTCTGGCTCTCCTGGCCCCCGGCCCCCGGCTCTGCTGGCCCCTGGCTCTCCCGGC